ATAATAAGATTTTGTGCTATACTCATCGCCCACAAATGCTGAATGGTAACCAAACCAACAACAAGAAAGTGTTTTAACTTTCAACTACAATTAGGCAAATCACAACGTCCTTTAAAAATCATTTACATCTTCTGCCCAGGTTAAAAAATCAGTTTCGTTTATCTCACGGTTTAACGTGTGTTGTCAGCAAAAGCCACTTCCAGTTAATTTCCCAATGTACCACAGCCAAGGAGAACAGAATTATTAAAAACCCTACATGGGGAAAACCAAATACGTTCCACTCCAACACAGACATTTTTACTGATTCAGGATGCTCTTAGTAATTGGTTTGCAGTGAATTAATTGGCAATTCAGATTTACTTTTCATATAACCTTGCATTTACTCCATGAAATTTGGGAATTTGCTTTAAAATGTTTAGTACTACTCATAATCATCAAACCTGCCAGCTCTCGTTTTTTGGCTTTGTTATAAACGTGGGGCGAGCTTTTCAAAAGCACTCTGTTCACAGAGGCTATCGCAGTGGTTTCAGCTGTGCATTCAAAAGCAGCTGTGCACTCAAATTTTTCTTTTCTAAGTATTTTGGTGACCCTTCAGCCAACGGGGAGGTTTGGGGGTTTTTTTTGAGTGGGGAGATTTATCTTAATAGGGACTGTAGGGTTCCTTCCATGCATCTTTTCAAAGATTTTTTTTTTTTTTAAAAAGGAGTATAACCAGTTCTCAACCACTTTGCAGTGAAAACTGTCTTGTCAAAATGAATAAAATAAGCCATAAGTACCAACAAACAAACAAACCACCATGTTGAATTAAAACCTCAAATGACTTAGGTACCTGGACTGACTCTCACTGAAATGTAGTTTTTCAAAGACCTTTAAAGGCTTGTATTGCTTTGTATCATTTTAAAAAAGCATTAAATCTGCTTTTTTTTTTTTTAATTAAAATTATTTGGATTAATTTAATAGCAATACATCTCTTTCTATAGATACAGTAGCTTCACTCGGTTCTAACTCTATAACTTACCCCAAAAAAGCCTAGCAGTATCTGCTCTCTTCATGTGATGGTATTAGTTTTTATGCATAAAATGTTTCCGTATCGGTGCTGAATTATTAAAGAAAAATCTAATGCAATGAAACTCTCTCAGCAATTCAAAACCCCAACTTAGTGCTGCTGCAGTGACTCCAAGTCCTGACATTCCAAATTACAGTCATAAGGCTAAGCTCTGATTTAGAGGTTCAAGACCTGCTAGTTAAAATCAGCAGAGGATTTTATAAACGGCTAGGTTTTCCATTAACTTCTTTCAGAAGTTTTTGATATGCAAATTGTTACATGCAATATGACCTACACCATTATGGCAGCAATTCTAGACAGAAATAGAGGCCGTGACCCCAACATCTCCGTTCCCAGCTGTGCAGGATTGGGGCCACCCCAGCCTTAACAATTAGCGTGAAAAGGCAAAGCAGAGCTAGGGGGCTGAGAAGCAAATCTGTATTTCTGAGTTTGAGACCAAAGTAAATAAATTATATCCCCTACCCAGAAAAAAAATAAGCTCAACAACCTATAAAATGTAATCAAGAATAGTGCAGTGGGATTCATTTATTCACTAGTAGCCATCAGAAGGTCTAAGCATAACTGCCTGCTTTTTTCCATGGACATTCAAGTGCAGTTTTAATTGAAACTGATCTTCCACTACAGATTTCAAATTAATTCTTCTTCCAAGTGTCTCATGCTCCAGACATCCTTGCCTTGCAAAAAACCCTATATCATTAGAGGAGGAAATAGAACACTTTTTCTAAGCTTGCAGGTATTGATTACCTATTCCTTCCATCAAAGCACAATTGCCATTCTGCACTGTATAAATCTCTTCAGCGTTAGACACTTTATAAAGTACTGAGAATTATATCATTAATCATTTGCAGTTGCACCTGTCTTGCTTTATTGAATTCTTTGTTTTTTAGAACTTTAAATAAATGCTTTTAAATAAAAACATGACACTAAATAAAGACTCTGTTTCACTTAAACCTAGTAAAAAAACATCCCTTCATTCTCTGTGTGACATTTACCCATCTGAAACGGAGTAACTTATGGCTATTTGTGTTTCATTTTTCCAACAGTAAGCACTGTGGATTTAATCAAATAAAATTTGGAATGAATTTGAATTGGCCTTTTAAGAGCTGACAAATAATTTGGTTTTCAAAACCCAAACAAGTTAAGAGCCCTCACCTGTGTTAATAAATCACGCACATCTCCATTGAGATGGTGGGACGACCTGCAGGCAAAGGAAAACACTGGACAGCCCCATCCTGGAGCTGGAATATTTGATGCACGAACACCACAACGTGACTGGTAACACCTGGCATCCTCAGACATTGAAATCAGTGTCCCGCCTGCAGGAAATCACGCCACCAGGTCCAACAACTAAATGCACACAGCGGGGAAGGAGGGCTGCCCCCACATCAACCAAATGCGTGGCAGCAAGACAAGATGGTGACTGGAGAACGCTGGAGTGATGGGACGAGGCTGGGGGCTAAGGAACGCAGCGAGGAAAGGGAATTTGGCCACAGTGCTCCCCTGAGCGCTGCAGAGAGGAGGCCACCCTCTCCCAGCCACCGTGGGGCATTTTGCCCCTCAGGCCCACCATGCAGAGCTACACGGACACTCGCTTGGTTCCCTGGCGCAGGGGACACGGCACTTCTCCACTGCAGCCCCAGTGATTCCAGCTTCACCGAAACCCTGCCCCGAGTCCACCTGCGGCTCAGAGAGCTGCAGAGCCCATTGATCTCCCTGGGGCTGGCAACCCTGCGGGCTCATCGTGGATGGCAGCCAGGTCTCTGGGGACTTCACCTTATCTCCACTGAAACCACGGGCAAAAGGGCCTCTGGCTTTCACGGGGCAGGAGCAGAGCTGGGGTCAGGGATCTCAG